ATGCATGCTATTTATTTATGTATATTTAAACATAATATTTAAAAGATACAGTAACTGAATAAAATAAATAAATAAAAATCTTAGGGGGAAAAATGTATCCTGAAGAAAACATTAAATACTCCAATCTATAGAAAATAGATGTAACTATTATCTCACGTTTGGTGCTTTTTCTGCTTTCAGCTTTCTGACCACCTCCCCCTGTTCGGACACACGCCCATATATGGCAGCAGGGGAGGAGTCAGGTAAAGGGGCGGGCTGCGGGGGAGATGCTGTGGGAGGAGCCATGCCTGGTTTGTATTCTTGACTAGTGAGCTGTTTAAACTCAGCTTTAAGAGCCAAGAGCTGTTTCACTGCAGCATCTACTTGCTCCTGCAAAATAAGTTAGACAATGGTCAATAATTACTTCAATATTTATCACAGTTATAGACCGTTCTAAACTACTAACAGACGTATGTCATGATGTCCTGCTGTATACTACTTACACCTTCTAAAGATGCGGCCACATTTACCGCTGTTCTGCAGAAGTTTGTGGCATTTCAATAGAAAACTGTATGATCAAAAGTTTTGTGTGAGGAGAAAAAAGTTCCCCACACAGATTTCACTTGTGTTCAAGTTTGTCAAGCAAATTCCTGATCAAGAAAAAGCAGCTTGGTTTGAAAGTTACTTCTGTGTGACACTACATAGAAGATGCTATACTATATTTATACTAAAGGGATATATTTATACTAAAGGGATAGTTCCACCAAAATTAAATTCTGTTGTTCCAGACCTGTATGAATTTCTTTCTTCTGTTGAACACAAAATAAAATATTTTGAAAAATGTTGGTAACCAAATAATTCCACTGACTTCCATAGTATTTTTTTTTTCTCCATACTATGGAAGTCAATGAGGGCCAACAACTGTTTGGTTACCAACATTCTTCAAAAATGTTTATGTTCAACATAAGAAAGAAACTCATTCATGATAACAGAATTTTCATTTTTGGGTGCACTATTAATTTAACAATAGACTTTTTTTTTTTTCCTGCATAATTTTGAGAATGTGTCCACACCTTAAGACAGGATCCCAATGAAGCAGACCCTTATAAGCAAGTGAAAATGCTTAGAATGCAGAAGTGTGGCTAGAAAATGCTGTTTAGGTAGGCAGCTTGCTAGGTTATGCAACAGTGACTGAAACAGACCTTGGGTGCTTTTTCAGCCTTCAGTTTACTAACCACCTCGCCCTGCTCAGCAACACGAGTGTATGGACAACCGGTGGAGGCAGGGCTTGGACTTTCTGCTGTAGCGGTGGGGGCGGAGCTCTTCGGTGCTGGAGCAGATGTGGGTGGAGCCATGCCAGGTTTGTACTCCTGTCCGGTCAGTTGTTTAAACTCAGATTTCAAGGCCAAGAGTTGCTTTACAGCAGCGTCCACTTGCTCTTTAGGGGCCTTGTCTGTCTTGAGCTGCCTGACCAGGTCTCCCTGAGCCACAAGGCTGGAGTACAGGACGGAAGAGTCTCCTGGTGCGGCTGGCGCTGGGCTGGACACAGGAGCCTGCTTGGCTTTGCTCAGAGGAACAGACTCTGCCTTCACCTGAAGGAAGAACAATATGAATAGAGCGATCATTTTCTTCAACATTTGAAAACAAACTAATTAAGAGAACGAATAGATGATCCAGTTTAGTGCTCACAGGTTTAGCAGCTGTCTGGCTCTTGCTCTTGTCCTTGGAGCCAGCAGTGGGCATCTCTTTTGTGTGTCCATCTGGGATGTACAGCAAGACACAGGGACTCTCCTTGCAGCTGTGGGGGCTGAACAAAGAGGTCAAATTACAAACCGAGCATAAAAACAGAAAATTTATTATTCACAAGACACTGTGTTGAACGGATTAGAGGTGTAACCTGATTGGCTCATAAGGTTGATCACAGATATAGAAACCTCGTCTCTGCAGCTGTATGATGTCACCTTTCTTCAAGTCCTTCAGGCAAGGCTCTCCTAGCATCTTCTCCTCTATCTGGAAACAAAATATTCATTTTAATACATATCAACATTAAAACAATATATACAAAAGCTTTATTTATATTTCAAATAAATGCTGTTCTTTTAAACCTTCTACTCAAAAGATTCTAAAAATGTATTATGGTTCCCACAAAAATATCAAGTGTCACAACTGTTTTTAACATTGATAATAATACATTTTCTTGAGCACCAAATCATTACATTAGAATGATTTCTGAAGGATCATTTGACACTGAAAACTAGCTTAATGGCTTCTGAAAATTCAGCTTTGCATCACAGGAATAAATTAAAATTTTAAATATATCAAAAGAGAAAACAGCTATATTTAAATTACATATTAAATGATTGTTTTTACTGTATTTGACCAAATAAATGTAGCCTTGGTGAGCATAAGATACTTTTGAATGTTTTTGCATTTTTGCATCTTCTCATGTAATGTAGTAACATTCATAAATGTTATGCAAATCAAGTGTGTAATTATGATGAACATACAGTAAGACTAATATAATTCTGTCTTAACTATTTGTCACATTGCAAAAAGCCATTTATGTATTATGCATTTATGCATTATAGATTTATTTTCACAAATGAAAGTAGCCAAGCACAGAACAGAACGTTACTACCCAGACAACACCCCAACAGACTTGAGTACAACACCTTGCTGTTCTTGTTGATGTAATCCTTGAAATCGTCATCCTTGCCCAAAACCGGCTTGGTAATGAGGTGCTGGTAGTTGACGCAGACAGTGGGCACGAATGGAGCGCGGCTGGATTCAGCGAGCCAGGTGATCTTAGTAGTCTTTTTATAATCAGTGTTCTCTAGGTTCAGATGACCATCCAGAGACGTGATCGCTCCACTGGCATCCCTAAAGACAGCAAGACAGAAACTACATGTAACTGCACATATACATTCACACACATATCTTTTTTAAAAGAAATATATTTTTTACAGCAATGACACAAAATTGAGCTTAATGGCAGTAAAGACATTGTGATGCCTTAAAGGGGTCATATGATGCTGCTAAACATAACATTATTTTGTGTATTTGGTGTAATGAAATGTGTTTATGCGGTTTAAGTTTCAAAAAACACATTATTTCCCACATACTGTACATTATTGTTTCTCCTCTATGCCCCGCCTTTCTGAAATGCGTCGATTTTTACAAAGCTCATCGGTCTGAAAAAGCGAGGTGTGCTGTGATTGGCCAGCTATCCAGTGCGTTGTGATTGGCCGAATACCTCAAGCGTGTGACGGAAATGTTACGCCCCTTACCATATTGTGATGATGCCCTGTCAGGCCGGAGCGATGATTCAAAAACATGAAAATGAGGCATTCGTTGCATCAAGTGGGGACATAATTATGGATTATAATGACTTATACTGTCTTTTTAGCCTGCCGGCATTGTAGTCTACTCTCCCAGGATCAGGAAACATATGAAATATGCAGCACACATCTGAATATTTGGGTTGAAGTGTTCTGGAACAGTGTTGTAAATACAACTTAACCACTGATTTCTAGTCGTGTCCATTTTTGGAAGGCCAAACAAAGTAGTTTCGCTTTCACAATGAAACACAGTGTCACACACGGCGGCCTAGAGTGAGCAGAGGCCGGGGGATAAAGTGAGGAACGGCCGGAGGGCTAGAGTGAGCATAGGTGGCGGATTCGACGACGGAGCGTCCGGCGGGCTTGCGGCAATCACATGTGATGACCCTGGGCTGTGCCTTCACGACATGGCGGCGGCAACAACAATACTACAGCGAGAATAAAAGTTACGCCTTCTTTCTTTGC